ATCGGCAACTTCAAGAAATGAAGCCCCAATGTCATCGGAAACATATAGCTTTCTATGCGGGTTCATGGGTCATCGACAACATAGTTGAAGAGTACAAGCATTTCAAATTCGAGTACCTATACGGCAAAGCAGAAACTAATCTGGAAAAGAAGAATAGCATCAGATCGAGGTAGCCGAGATTGGGAAAATAATGGCTGCCATTCGTCATTGACAGAGCAGTTGCAGCATTTTAAAAGCTACTCAATTTCTTCTGCTGCCCTCTGCCCACCTACCCTTTTTAGCAGGGTTAATAACTGCAGTTCCCTCTGCGGTCATCCCGTGCAAAAATCGACATGCCATTAGGTTGATGCAGAATCATGCGACTCTCAGTCCTAGGAGAAACAGACTTGGACATCCCAGGAACCCCTTGCCAGTTATCATAAACCCTGATTCGGCTCCTCTCACAGAACTTTCAAAACCCAACTAGTCCTGGGTGAAGACGGTGTGGAGCTCCGGCCGCAATTGTTCACTCTTCGCTAAACAGAGCGAATATATCTGAATGCTTTAGCTTCGTGCATTTGGGTGCAGAAGTCTACATGATGAATGACCCAGCTCCGAGCCTCAGTAGGAGAAGACGCGCGGCGTGGGAAGCATTCAAAAACATTGAGGAAACAATGGAGGAGACAAAGGACATCCAGCGCTCGCCACTTCCACACTTCGGTCCTTCCTTCTTTGACGTACGCCACGGAGACTCGGATTCCAAGAACGCAGGACGAACATGTAGTCAGCGTACTCGATGCGCTGTTGGAAGAACGAGAAAAATCACCTTTCACAAGCAAACGCAGAGAGGAATTTTGAGTTCCGAGCTTCAACAACGAATGAAGATCAGAAACACGCTGCTTACTTCAAGGAACCACAAATGATATGGTCAGGAACGTTATGCGATATTGTGATGACCAAAGCCATTAATGGCTGGACCCCCCGGGACGTAAAACGATCCAGTGTACTACATTGGCTCGTGACAGTAACGACTAAAGACGTTACAAGCGTCCGCTACAGTAAATCGTGATGGTGAAAGCTCTGGAATACTGTGGTCGAGGAAAGAGCTCTTGATGTTAGTAATGAATGGACTCGGATAATAGTGAATCCATTAAAAGCTCGAAATGGGACGGGGGG